ACGATGGAGAACCTCTGCCTTTTTGTCCAAATCTCACCAAATGTTCAGCCATGAAAGGATCAAATTTAGATATAAGCTCAATACAACCAAGAAAATTTCCGTTCAGTGCAGATCCAATAATTTCATTTTGACCGTGAAATGGAAGCCCACGAGAAGCTAAAAACTTAATTGTTTCTATTACCCGTAGTAATACATTTCGCCAATAAGTTATTTCTTCATTATATTGTTTGACTATTTGGGTATCCAGTCGTTGTAAAAGATTACCTCTACATACATATTGTCCCAAACATTTACGATGATCCGGAGAATTGTCATGATCAGTTATTAAGTTAGAATTTTTCCAGTCATTAAATCCACTTTTGGCAAATACGGATGTACCTCCATATAATTTGCAAGGACCACAAAACACGTGACCTGTGGATTCTGAGTATACTAACCAGCTTCTCTTCACATTTTCGCCATTAACAAGCTTTTTCTCAAACACATTTTTAGATAGAAATCTTTTTTGATTTTGATACTGCCTTTCTGATCTGGAAAAATCTAATTCTTCGTTTTGCTGCAGTCCATTTTTAACAATATAATCTCGAAATTCATCATTAACTTGCCACAGTGCAGGGTCACTTGATGGAATAGACGACTTTTCTTCTATTAGAATTTCGTCTTCATTGTAGATCGTCGGCGTCGTCGCTACTATAGGGCTAGTGTTGGATGGAGAAACGTAACAGTCCGCGGTAGAGGAACCAGGACAAGAAATCACTGGCGACAGTGCAGCATTCGTCACCGTTTCGTTCCTTTCTGCAGAGTTCGTAAAAAATATTTCTAGTTTACGAGTATGTTTTAAAATGTTTTTTATTTTCTTTTCCTTTTCTTTTGCCTTTTTTCTGTATTCTGCTCCACTTGGCTTTTTAACTATCGAACTATTTTCATTACCACTCATAGTCTTAAAAAAATACGGAAACACTGAGGAAAGAACAATAAATATCAATCACCAAAAACGAATATACGCGAGCGCGTGATATGACGGATGAACGACGATTTCGAAAGAGATAAGACAAATGAATGAAGCACGGCAAAGTATACTACCTATTAACCACACCGGGGAGTCCCCGCACATCGTTGATGTGTTTCATTGCGCGCGGCAAGCTGCGCTGAGTGCCTAGTGCGAGTTTTGTTTAATTCGCCTCACAGAAACGCGCGTATACGTGAAGATTATTTTGTATGGGAATTTAAACAATGCAACCTAGACGATAAAGAATAGAATACGATACAATCGACACAGAGTCATCTAGCGGCAAACGCGAGAACTAGGTTGCACTGTTTAAATTCCGAATTTCCCATACAAAATGAAGTTAAAATTTACGCCCGTTATTGCGAGGCGGATTAAACAAAACTCGCACTAGGCACTCTGTTGCCAGCTCACCCACTCGCTCAACCACCGACCGATTCGAGTAACAAGTCAGTGTTTGTTGTACGCACGCTTTTTAAAATTTCAAAATTTATTGTTAAAATCAGGGACTCTCAAGCGCATTTAGTTTTAATGTTTTGTCTCGGTCTAGTTGAAATATGTAGGGTAGATGCAATGATGCTAGATTAGTGCATGCGAAGTCACGATTTCAGCGCCCCCGGATCCTCGCGCCCTAGGCTGCAGCCTAATTACCCTAAGGGTTAATCAGGCCCTGTTTCTGGAGCTGGAGGCTCGAGTGTGGTGACAGGAATTAGCCCATTCTTGTTTTTTTTTCCATCCCCATTGCTCTGCATTTTGTTCATTCCCATACTACCGCTTATAATATCTATATTATATACATAGATGTTATATGTCCAATCTTTGCGAGGTATAGCACTCATGCATTTTTTTCGCATTTCACCTTTTTCCGAAATAATATATAAACATACTTACATTTTAAAGACAATTTATAATTTTAATTGCAACTGGGAACACAACAACGACGAGGCATTTTGTTAAAATAAACAAGAAAATTTACAACTAAAACACACAATCTGACCTAAAACATTTTCACTTTTTTCACATAACAGTTAACATTACCTTTTGCAATTAAAAACTGTATCTGAAGGTATTAATCACTAAAACACACTATAAGCATCCTTATTGCACATTTATTGCACATTTCCACTAAAATTAAAATATTATAGAACAACGAAAGAAACACAACAACCAATGTATTAGTTATTAGTTAGTAACTCTCATTAACTGGGGAATCCTGGGACTCCCACAGTGTTGCCAAGTAAACCTTCAGCACGGCTTGTAAGTAGAAACGGCTGTGGGGTCTAAACATACTATACATCATAATGAATCGGAAATACAAGTCTATTAAATAAACAGAACGGGTTCATTTTTGTTGATGAACTCCAATACTCCCATTCAAAAATGAAGTAGTTTGTTTTAAACAAAAATATGTGTATATAAAGAAAACTGACGAAAATTAAATCTGTTGTTTTTATTGCTTCTACCACCATAGCACGAACCATTTCTGTAATAGTTCTGTTCATTCGTTCAGCTACTGAATTGTGTTGTGACGTATAGTTTACGGTTAAACAGTATGTTATATCCTTGTCTATGCAAAATTCCTTAAACTCATTTGATAAGTACTGTTGAGCCCTAGTATCCCAGGATACCTATTCGGTATAATTACCCACCTTATGACAACGAAATTGTTATTGGTCATTGTTACACCAAATGTTGATATTTTTATTAGTAGCTACTTTTTCAACGTACTGAATTGTACACTAAGTCGAAAAAGATCTCTAATTTATGTTATTGGTAACGTACAAATTGCACACTTACTTGTGAAATAACTTGTAGAGAAAGAGAATACTGTAATGTTCGTGGGTTTAACAAAATTAACTTCTAAGACTGATAACGATAAAAACTATTTATTTACACTAATTATTAAAGAACTTGAAAACACTATTAAATTATTACTAAACTTAGGTTATGAATTATTTATTTACACTACTGTTGGTATATCACTATTCACTGCGCTATTTATTTCACTTCTATCGCTGTCAATTTATTTCTGGATTCACTTCTGCAACGGTCAATTTATTTCTTGATTCACTTCTGAAACGGTCCATTTATTTCTTCCTTTAAATACTTTTTTGTTTACTTTCGGGAACCTTCTGGAATCATCCGGATAGTTTCTTTTTTCTTTGAACTGTTTAACTGCTTTCCCAGAACGCAGGTACGACACACACATTTACAAATACGGCGCACATGAAGAAAAGCGCCCGCGGCTAGTCGGCGAATCGATAAGCCGTTCACGCACATGTGTGCCCGATCGCACACAAACACACTTGTGGTCGCTAAAATACGTTTATTATGTTATTAACATTACAGCAGTAAGTATACACCAAATGCCTAAGTCGTCCTAAGCTATTTATATACTTCTTATATCTAAAGTAAAAATCGATAGTTTAGGGACGTAACAGTACTCATCCCTATTATCGCAATACAGATTTGAAACTTTTAGATCAAAATGTGCTTCGTATTTAGCTGTATAATTTTTAAAAGCGTTTAGCACCTCTGATTTATATTTTATTAAATACACAAATGTGTAATGTGCAAATTCGTCTGTGAATGATACAAAATAATTTTTGTTATCGAATGTTGATTTTGCCACAAACGCCTGAAAGGACTATGAATAAAGATTTCTGTATAACAAACAAAATAGCTCAAACCACAACGCCCTCTTTCGAGCGCTGTTATTACACCATCATAACTATTTGGGAGAATTGTAAGAAGATAAGACACTATTTCGTCAAGTTTTGCACCAGCAGCTATTAATTCAGTAAGTATTTCGCTGAATTTAGCAAAATACGTTGATAATAATGTGTCACTTTCTAATGTTAATGTTAATAATCTTTTTCGGCACGCCATCTGAGTCGCGACACTCTTTCGTTCATATATTTCATCTAAACTTTCGATAATTTGTTTCGTATAAATTTTATCTTTTGCGAAGTTTAGAATTCATTCAGCACTTAGTTCGTTTGGAATTTCTTCTTCCACTTCTTTTGTTTAACCTAGATCACTAAGTAAGGTCATTACTCGAAATTTCCATACAGCATATTTTTCACCATTATGGTTTTATGCTACGCTTTTGATTCATTTTTTCACAATCACTAAATAATTAAACTGTTTCTTATTAATCTATTAATAGTTGGCAATTTTTATAAAAGACTAAACACACTCACGTTTATCACCTGAACCCATAACCTTTTGATATAGTTCTTATTTTATAAATAAAACAACTTACTGGTTGTAGTAAAGTACGATTTCACAAGGATTTTTTTAGAGACTGTTTATTTCAGCAAAGAATTTTTACAAAAAAATGACTTAATTAAGCAATTTAGCTTTCAATCTAGCATAGTAACACGTTTTTGACAATGACTTAGAGTCTAATAATAACAACATAAAAATGAATTTATATAATCATAAAATTGATGGTGAACGGCGTAAATGAGTGGTCATAGGGTTATTATCAGGTCTGATGCGATAGTGATAATGAATAGCTGTTTAGCTTGATGTCCTTAACAAGTTAAAAAGTTTTAGGATGGATTGAAGAGCCTGGAACTGGCTGGAGTTCAATGTATTCTCTCTAGTTGTTAGGTTTTTCTTGCTTGTCTTTCCAGGTCTGGTACATTACTACTTCCATAACATCAATAACAGTATCAGTAATATTAAAAATATGCAAATTGCAGTGATAGGGAAATGTTCATAAAACACGGCAGGTCCCAGATGGACACATGTTTTTTCTATTTCTTGAAGCATTTGTTGAATATTTTCTGCTTTGGTTGGAAAGGATTTAGCCGGATAAGTATGACGAGCCAGCCCCCAAATGGGAACCTATATCGAAACTTATGTTTTAATATCACCTTGATGTACAAACACAATTTATGTACTTTTCGTGGCTAGCTTTCGCTTTGACCTTGAGATATGGGAAAAAATAACCGTACGCATGACTTTTATTCAAAGTCANTCATTCTGCATGGGGCGAAATCAAACGGTGGAACTGATTTGGCTATTTTGTGATCAACTCTTTGCCTCTTCTCAGGTAATTTAAGTTCATTGCCGTTAGTAGATACTGTATCTAAAGTATAAATCAACATAAGTAAAATAAGATCAATGTTGTACCTAAAGGGTTTAGCCGGATAAGTATTACGAGTCAGCCCCCAAATGGGAACTTATATTGAAACTTATGTTTTAATATCGCCTTGATGTACAAACAGAATTTATGTACTTTTCGCAGCTAACTTTCGCTTTGACCTTGAGATATGGGGAAAAGTAACCGTACGCATGACTTTTATTCAAAGTCATATATCTCAAAAACTAATTACGCAAGAGAGTTGAGACCAATGCGAGTCTTAAGACTACATTACAGAGTATATCATATATTTTTTTAACATTTTTAGTGTAACTTTATATATAAAAAAAATTAAAAAATAAGTAAATCATAATTTTTTTTTCGTGTTCTCTGAGACTTACAATCACGAAAATAATATATGTTATGCTTCTTTACATGCTCTATTACTCATAAAAATTGCGTGAGAAAAGAATTGGTGCAACACATCAAAAAAAAAAAACGTGATTAGCGCCTTCTGCTATACCCTTGTACTATAAGGCCTGCATCATATTTTAGTTATTTTTTTCGAAGTGTTACACCAACTGAAGTAATTGTTCAAAAAGAGAAGATAAAACAACCGTTGTCAAATATTTATTACCACTTTTGTTACTTTTCATGTTAATCAAAATGCCAAAAACAAAAAAATTAATCATCGTCACTGTTGTAATTAATTACTACTGGAGCATTTTGAGTAGCAAATATTTTAGTGAGGACTTCGGCAGGACGCATAATTTTTAACAAATATCGTCCATATGACAAAAAATAAGTAATAGCTGCTGTACAGACGACTCTGTACGTTACACGTCCATTTAATAAAGAACTTCGCTGTAACTATTTCTATATTTTGTTTTTGGATATTAACCGTTAAAAGATTGGAATGAAAAATTTAGAAACTGCTAAACTATTTATTATATTTACAAAGGAATTAAAATTAACAAAGTGAACGTCTATATTGATACTGAAAGAATGCTTTCTGTACAACTTAAAACTAACTTAAATACATAAACAGACCTCCTGAAGGGAGAGAGGGTGGACAGGCTGTACCAAGCTAGTAATAATGAAGCAGTAGAGATATTTTGACCCAAGGGGTCCGACAAAAGTACCTGAAGGGCAATAAACTGAACAAAATANAACGGAAAAAGAACTATAAAACTTCTAAAAGTTGTCTAAATTGTATGTATGTTTAAGAAAAAGAACTATGCTTAAACCTTTAACAGCATCTGAACTACTTGATTTTCCACGTCTAACTGAAGATCAGCTAAAAATTTTATTCGTATCAATTTTCTCAGGCTCTGTCTTACTAGGTCAAAATAATGGACGATCAAAATAATCTTTTAGTACAGTATGTCAAATCAACATTTAATATCATTAAAGCCGAAGTAAAATCAAGACATATAAATAAAAAAGTCTATCGTATTTACATTCACTATAGTTCCGATGGTAATGATTACAATGCTATTCTTCGTTATTGCTGTGACTGCCCCAATAGCAACCGTGCAGTGGGGAGCTGTTCACATATAGCAGCTACTATTTATTATTTGTCATATGGACGATATTTGTCAAAAATTATAAGTCCTGCCGAAGTCCTCACTAAAATATTTGCTACTCAAAATGTTCCAGTAGTAATTAATTACAACAGTGACCATGAATATTTTTTTTGTTTTTGGTATTTTAATTAACACGAAAAGTAATGAAAGTGGTTATAAATTTTTGACATTGGTTGTTTTTTCTTTTCTTTTTGAACAATTATTCCAACGTTTATCAAGTTGGTGCAACACTTTGAAAAAAATGACTAAAATGTGATGTAGGCCTTATAGTAAAAGGGTATAGTAGAAGGCGCTAATCACATTTTTTCTTTTCTTTTTGAACAATTATTCCAACGTTTATCAAGTTGGTGCAACACTTTGAAAAAATGACTAAAATGTGATGTAGGCCTTATAGTACAAGGGTATAGTAGAAGGCGCTAATCACATTTTTTCTTTTTTCGATGTGTTGCACCAACTTTTTTCTCACGCAATTTTTATGAGTAATAAAGCACGTAAAGAAGCATAACATATATTATTTTCGTGATTGTAAGTCTCAGGGAACACGAAAAAAAAATTATGATTTACTTATTTTTTAATTTTTTTTATATAAAAAGTTACACTAAAAATTTGAAAAAAATATATGATATACTCTGTAATGTACTCTTAAGACTCGCATTGGTCTCAACTCTCTTGCGTAATTAGTTTTTGAGATATATGACTTTGAATAAAAGTCATGCGNAGCCTGAGAAAATTGATACGAATAAAATTTTTAGCTGATCTTCAGTTAGACGTGGAAAATCAAGTAGTTCAGATGCTGTTAAAGGTTTAAGCATAGTTCTTTTTCTTAAACATACATACAATTTAGACAACTTTTAGAAGTTTTATAGTTCTTTTTCTGTTCCAGCGCTGATCTTGCACTTCTTGACTCAAAGTATTTTCTACGTCCATTCTACTTTTCATATATGTAAGCAACCGTCCTAATTGCTAACGGCGATGAGGGTTAGGATGCGAATAACAACAAGTTTATTCAGAGATAAATCTGTAAATTTTAATAAACGACAATTAACTTAAAACTGAACTATTTACATATTTTCCAACTTGTAAAAACAAACCTGAATAAATACAATTGACAATTATTCACTGGTTTAATTAAACAATTCATTTAACCTTTCACAACGAGGTGTGCTCTGCTTTCAGCTCTCTCTACTGTTTCCTTCGCACCCTCACTGTCTCTCCTAGATGCGCGCGTCGGTTGTCACCGACATTCGGTTAGACCACCGAGAGCGGGAAGTATTTAAACTTACATATATTGTACTATTATTTTGTTTAATCCACCATCCGAATCAAGCCTTTTATCATAAGTGTTATGCAGAAAACCAATAATTTTACATAGCAATTCCAACTTTGGCAACATTTTATTATCGAGGCAATGGTGTACAAGTCTGTACTTTTGGGTAATGTTTCCATGAACAGCTTCTACCACCCACCTAATTTTTGTTATCTTTCTCGATGAATTGGCTTCTTCTGTACTTAGTTGTGGTTTATTACCTTTAAAAGCTGGCATCAGAACGTTAAAATCTTCGTGATTAAGAAATTTTACATCTTTAAATCCGCGGTCTACAATGAATATACCCTTTCGTAACAGAAGTTTTTGCAAGGCTGAAGGATCCTCTAATATAATTTTCATAATTGCAGCATCATTTAGGGTACCATAAAAAGGTCCAGCAAAATCAACAACAAAACCATTTGTGGTACATATTGTAAAAGGTTTACAAAGATGTGTCTTTTTTTGTCCTGAGTATGATTTCCTTTGATAATAATTATTTTTACTTTTTTGGTGTCGTATATACGTGCCATCTACAATCAATACAAGCTGATTTTCACCAACATTTAANCCGGCTAACCCCAATTTCCTATAGAGAATGAATAGTTACAAATACAATATTTTAATCAGAACGAAAAAAGATATTTTAACGTCTGTTTCTAAACCCGCGTCCAATAATAACTCGTTTATATTTCATCGATAAGCTTATTCCTTCTTATACTTTTTTTTAATACAAACTTCTGAACTTTGCTCTTTACATTTGTTCTGGATAATGCAGCCTCATATATTAACGTCGTTTTAAAACAAATCGGTCTCACTTAAAAGTGCATAACTTTAGGCATTAAAGTTAGACACTTCTAAGTGAGACGCGTTTTATCATAAGAGATTAGAGTACCGACCTATAATTTAGTATCTCAACAAACTTCTGTGTTCTTGAAATGACCGTAGTAAATTTTCTTGCCCGAAATAGAAGGAAATCGCATCAACATTATTTTTCGAGAATGTTAGTTATCAATTGTTGCTGGAGAGGTCACGGAGAGGTAATTATGAACAGGATCTAAGCACCCCAACCTATCTTTTCACGCTCTTCTTTATTATATTAAGCAATCCAGACAGAAAATAATATAAATTTGCCGTTTCCATGCCCTTTCGTGTAATGATACATTAATTAGATATTTTTTTATAATTTCCGACACTTGTTTCGTTTAAAATATCTTTTCATACCTTTAAAGAAGTGTATCTAGTTAGAGCAACTTTTGATTTCTGTGATATTTGTGATGTTTTTTAAATTATCTGGCATATTGTATACATACAAAGTTACTGAAACTAATCGGCCATTAATTACTGTGGTCAATTATTAATTTCTTGATTATTATAAGAAAATGAAAAAAAAACATTCTCTAATAAATCTATAGATCGTGCTAGCCCTGACGATTTCATGTAGTGCTGCGTTTAATATACCTTTTGTAATTGAATCAAATATATAACTTTGTTTAGAGCTGTAGTAGCAAAAAATCGCTGAACATTCAGTTAAATATAGTTAACTACTAAATAATGGTAACTTTCTTTCGGGTTTTTGTAGGCTGTGATCTAAAGGCTGATTTGTTGCCCGACGTTTCGTCAGAGGTTGCGGTTGACATCCTGAGAGATGTAGAAGCTAGGGTTAGCGAAGTAGTTTTCTGTCACGTAGTTCTCTCCTCGGCTGACTGCTATCGAATATGCCTGCCGTTGTTTTATTTGTTTTTGTGGAAGTGGGGAAGTCTTCAAAAAATACCCAGCCGTCCGTACGACTGATTAGTGTTGGATTCACTTCGAAGAGCGCGTACCAACTAAAACCCCTCTATATACGAGGGTGGATTGATAAGTTTCCGGCCTAACCAAGAGATGACGCCACTAGGCCTACCTTGAGGTGACATTCTATAGTACCATCCTTGGATAGCTTGTAGCTATAGTTTCAGCCCGATCTCCTTGCTAGTGTAGGTTTGACANTTATATAATCATAAAATTGATGGTGAACGGCGTAAATGAGTGGTCATAGGGTTATTATCAGGTCTGATGCGATAGTGATAATGAATAGCTGTTTAGCTTGATGTCCTTAACAAGTTAAAAAGTTTTAGGATGGATTGAAGAGCCTGGAACTGGCTGGAGTTCAATGTATTCTCTCTAGTTGTTAGGTTTTTCTTGCTTGTCTTTCCAGGTCTGGTACATTACTACTTCCATAACATCAATAACAGTATCAGTAATATTAAAAATATGCAAATTGCAGTGATAGGGAAATGTTCATAAAACACGGCAGGTCCCAGATGGACACATGTTTTTTCTATTTCTTGAAGCATTTGTTGAATATTTTCTGCTTTGGTTGGAAAGGATTTAGCCGGATAAGTATGACGAGCCAGCCCCCAAATGGGAACCTATATCGGAACTTATGTTTCAATATAACCTTGATATGCAAACACAATTTATGTATTTTTCGTGACTAGCTTTCGCTTTGACCTTGAGATATGGGAAAAAATAACCGTACGCATGACTTTTATTCAAAGTCACAAATCTCAAAAACTAATTGTGCAAGAGAGTTGAGACGAATGCGAGTTTTAAGACTACATTGCAGAGTATATCATATATTTTTTTTAACATTTTTAGTGTAACTTTATATATAAAAAAAATTAAAAAATAAGTAAATCATAATTTTTTTTTCGTGTTCCCTGAGACTTACAACCACGAAAATAATATATGTTATGCTTCTTTACGTGCTTTATTACTCATAAAAATTGCGTGAGAAAAAAATTGGTGCAACACATTGAAAAAAAATTAAGGAGTGTTTCGCACCTTGTAACTTATAGGTATAAACATGACTTAACACGCACAAAATTTTTTCGCTCGCGGAAGGAATTGTACATAAACAAGTTTAGATTTGTTATCACGCTTTCTTTTATATTTTATGACTTACTAACATCGCTGGTCATTCACTGGTATCTCTCTTGGACATTGGTATTGGTCTAAAAGGAAGCTCTTGATTTTAGTGGTATTTTGTTTCAGGATTTTAAAATTAGTCATTGTAGTTATTATTTTTATAAGGTAATAATGTCTGACAAATGCAAAAACTGTAACAAATATTTTCGTAAGATTGTCGGTTATAAAAAATTTAAATAATACGAATTTTTGAATCACAAAGATTTTAACATTCTGGTGCCAGCTTTTAAAGGCAATAAACCACAACTAAGTACAGAAGAAGCCAATCCATCTAAAAAGATAAAAAGAATCAGGTGGTGGTAGATGCTGTTCATGGTAACATTGCCCAAAAGTACAAACTTTTACACCATTCTCTCGATAATAAAATGTTGCCAAAATTGGAATTGCTATGTAAAATTATTGGTTTTCTGCATAACACTTATGACAAAAGGCTTGATTTGGATGGCGGATTAAACAAAATAATAGTACAAAGTNTTTGTTTTTGTGGAAGTGGGGAAGTCTTCAAAAAATACCCAGCCGTCCGTACGACTGATTAGTGTTGGATTCACTTCGAAGAGCGCGTACCAACTAAAACCCCTCTATATATAGGATCATTCTATTCAGGTCCTCAAATTTATTGCTATTGTCACACCCTCGCCGGGAATTGAACCCGGGTCCTTTGGCTTTACGCAGCCAGCCGTTTTATTTGTCCCGCTTCTTATACTGTTCGCGTGGGGGGAGAGGCTGGTTGGTGTCGTGATTGGTGCCACTGCTATCTTATCGATCAGTAAGAGCACTTTTATTTTCTTTACGGCTGGTATCCATATTTTATTATGTTTTGTGCTCTCTTATTTCTTGTTGAAATTGTTATTAGATCTCTATTGCATCTTGTAGACGAGCGTAATAATGAGCCGTTTTATCTAGAACTTCGGTATCTTCGAAAAGAATTATATGTTATTCTTGCGTAAGGGAATGCTTCTCGACGGCTGAGTTTTCGTGTCTCCTAACCTATTATACCTTTTGTGCTCGGAAAGGTGAATAGCGGTATGTCTATTACCGTTTACAATGACCTGTATTATTTCTATGCTTCTAATGCTAATCTATTTCGGTAGCTCCTTAATATTTTCAATGTTTAAAATTCTTTTAAAAAGGCTTCAATTAACAGCCTAAATCGGTTAATGAATACTTACAAGCAAAAAACAGAAGTGAAAATAGTTCCATATTTATTTTAGGGATTTTTCGTNATGCTTCTAATGCTAATCTATTTCGGTAGCTCCTTAATATTTTCAATGTTTAAAATTCTTTTAAAAAGGCTTCAATTAACAGCCTAAATCGGTTAATGAATACTTACAAGCAAAAAACAGAAGTGAAAATAGTTCCATATTTATTTTAGGGATTTTTCGTGGCAGTTCTTTATTGTTTTCTAAACGGAGAAGTACGAACTGAACTCAAACTTCATTTTTACGACTTCTTGAATTATTGGGGTTCAGTTTCCTGTTGCTACGGCTGCTGCTCTCTGCAGAATTTTTCAAGGTAAGATCTGCTGTCTAGCTGTTTTATAATTTTTAATATTGAAAGTCCTTACGCAGTAGTACTCTCAGACAGCAATAAAATATACATAGAGAAACTTTCAGGTCTCCTATGAGTAGGCCATCCGTATGCACCATGGTATCTAACGCTTCCATTTGTAACAATGGAGTTCAATTTCATGGATCTAATCATCAGAGGAACAAACATGATCCTGGACACCATTCATTATTAGGTTAGGTTGAAAATTGATTTTAAAGAGAATATGGTTCATACGTTAGAATACTTATGTAGGAGTTGAAACGGATTACAAACATTTCAGTAAAACATAAAACAAGTAATGCTTATTTTACATACAAATATTTAAATTTAAGGAAAATGTTTTTCTGAGATGTTCTGTTTTTAAATTTTGAGTATAGTCTTTACAAAATAGCCCAAAAACTTCAAGAAGTACAATAAAAACTTAATAGCGGTTAGTATTCTATCGAAACCGTAAGACATAGATCGCGATGTTGATCGCATTGGATCTCATAAACACGTCGTAGGCAGTTCCGACAGAATACAGGCCAAATTTACATGCTGTTTTCAGATAGCGTTTGATGAACTGCTACAAACATCGTATTGGTTGCCATCAGCAGAAAATTGCTATATTTCGTAGGTTTCAAAAATATTCTACAAGATACATAACATCAATTAGACACGTAGCTAAACAAAACGGAACCTTGTCGAGTACATTTGAACCGTATGTTTCTTTAAAACATTTTCTGGTACTATTCTATCATTGAATCATTTCATAATTAGTCATGTTTAAATTAAAACACACAACTGAATAATTCTCATTTCGCTTAATCTTTGTATATTTTCTGAAAACTATTTTCACTTTGACATTATGTATCTGTTACATATTCATGCATTTAAAAGTCCGATGGTCTGTAGGTATACAAGCTGTCAAAATAAAGTTTTTCATAAAAAATGATAAAGGAATATAACATTATTGAGAAATATTCTATGAATTTGTCATAAAAACATTACCCAAGGACCTGAATATAATTTAGTCTATTTGTTAACTAGAAATTGAATTTTCCGTCTTTTAAAGATATCTATTTTAATTTGATAATTATCTTAGAAATAGACGAGATAAAATAGAAGGAGGAGACTGTGGTAAATATTAATTAAAAAATTAAAAGGAATACTCACCCCTAATTACCACAAATAATTTTATATGAGCGGACACGTGTTTCGCCCACTTCACACGTGGGCATTATCAACGCGAGACTGGTTCTAAAATTTACAATTCCAACTATTTATAGTGGCGAGGGTTGAAGACCGAAAGAAGAAATAATGGAAAACAAATTACATAGGTTTGGGAGGAAAACTTGAATACGTTCAATGCCATTTGTAAAATGTTTTAGAAGCCAATCTTTTGGCCACGAAAAACAGATCTACAAATGTATGCTTCGATAAACAAGTGAGGAACTAGATTTGGAGGGAATGTGTGTGTCAATAACCGTTAGTACAATTCGTAAGGCCTTTATGACCCAATTTTATGTACAAAACGTATGCTTCATCACAACCTACCTAATCTGGGAAAGGGAGGAGAAAAACAGTGAACGAGCGTGTTCAATACCCGCAGTTCAAAGGCCTATTGGGCCTGTTTTTTACTGCGTATGCTTCAACAAACGAAAACTGTAGGGGAGAAGGAAAATAGCTTATCTTATTATAATCAATTAAACCTATTGCAATAGTTGAAACAGGACTGAATGAGGAATTGGGCCATCATCTTAGTTCATAAGAATATTTTTATTCTTTTGAATGTATACACTTTCCCAAGCGTCAAGTTCTGATTTGCAAGAGACTTCTTTGATTAACTTTAAACATTTAGGGCCTATAGAGTGGTTTGTATTGAAAATATGTTGGGCAACACTAGATTTATCTATCCTATTTAATCTAAAGTGCGCGATATGTTCTTTGTATCCAGATACAAAGAAATTCCTTTTAATTTTTTAAATAGACGAGATAGGTTGGTATAACACCTTCTCAGGCATAAAGAGCTAGTTATTAGAAGCTGAAACAGTAGTTAAGAAGAGTAGAGGTAGACCTAGACTAGATTACTGTTTACAAATAGTTAAGGATGTCGAATGTTCTAGTTTTAGGGAAGGTTATCTCAGGATAGGACAATGTCGAGGTACGTGTCCAACCAGTCTTAGGACTGACGACCTTATGATGATGATAATGAACAATTACAATAATTTTTGATTTTATATAATAAACTGTAAGCGAAATGCATCGACACATTTGTTGGTTATTTTGTTTAGGCAGTTGGTCGACAAATAGGTAGATGCGAGGTTTCCTAAAATTTAACATTTTTATGTTTTATTCTAAATTATCCATGTTATGTAATGTAATAGATGTGTAATAGAAAAAATATGGTTCTACTAGGTGATATTTCGAAAATTGACTACAACATTAATCGTATTTCACAGCCAAATGCTGAATCATTGCATATCGTTGTATTTGGTGAGGAAGGACCATGGCGACGTAATTCAAGAAATTTTCAGACTTTTGGCATGTATGAAAATTCTGACGAATTTAGGTCAAAAGTCGAAGATGTTTTATCCAAATTAGAATTAGCTGATCTGGTTATTGTATGTTACGTTCTAAATCTAACTTATGTCGAAACTAAACCGCATCGAGCCAATCTTAGGTCTGACGACCTTATGATGATGAATTCGATTTACATAATGCACTTATCAGACGTTTGAAGTATAACGGTTAAGTAGTAGTAGGTGACGATATGTTGTTCATACCTTAACATTGGATTATCCTGCTAATTTGAAGCATCTAACAGTTCTGATAAATCACTAACCAAGAACTTAATAATCGTATACATCGCTAGCTATTCTTATCAATCTATGAGTTGACGTAAGGTTAGATATGTGTCGACGCGGACAGGACTTTTTAAGTTGAACTCCCTTTTGTAGAAAGTATTCCTATGTATTACGGTAGTGACAGCGTTCGTTGGAAACGCATCCGCTGAAACGTTTTTTTTTTTTCGACTTCAGAATATACAGCGTATGTTTACTCTGAAGGTGTAATCTTTCAGAGATTACCTATTGTCTCCAAACATACAAACATTGCTTCATTATAATATTAGTGTAATCAGATAAGGCATCAATAAGGGACTTTATGATATATATTATAGTTTAAATGTTTGTGATCCTACTTACCAAGAGTCCTTTTGGGTTTAACTTTTGACTGCAATCTATTTTTATATTACAAAAGTTTATTATTTCGCTAGTAGAATCGGTTTCGAATTTTAACAGATAAAAAAGAAAATATTTGCAACGTAAAATAGAAGTATTTAGTATTTTTTTCTGTTTGTAATAATTGAAAAATACAAAATTGGAAAACAATAAGGTGCATATCTATAGGTATACGAGGGTAGATTGATAAGTTTCCGGCCTGACCAAGAAAAACAAGGTTTTTAAAAATTTTTTTTTTTTATTTCTCAACATAATCTCCTCCAAGGCTGATACATTTCTCATAGCGGTGTTCCAGTCTATTAATGCCATCTCTATAGACTGATTCGTCAAGCTCCTCAAAATAACCATTTACAGCTTCGATTACTTCTTCATTGTCCGCAAATCTCTTACCGCCAAGCCATTTTTTGAGATTAGGGAACAGAAAATAGTCACTCGGGGCTAGGTCTGGAGAGTAAGGAGGGTGCGGCATCAATTCAAACTTTAGATCGTTGATTTTAGCCGTCGCAACGATTGACGTGTGCGCTGGTGCGTTATCGTGATGAAACAAGATTTTTTTCTTCGCCAGATGAGGTCGTTTAATTTTCACCTCGTGGCTCAAACGTTGCAATAAGTCTGCGTAGTATTGACCAGTGATAGTATTACCCTTTGCAAGGTAATCAATGTATATAATACCTCTTGCATCCCAAAAAACAGTAGCCATAACCTTGTTCGCCGAAAAAATTGTTTTTGCCTTCTTTGGAGTTGGTTCCCCTGGTCCAATCCACTGTTTAGACTGTTCTTTGGTTTCAGGAGTGTAGTGGTGGACCCACGTTTCGTCAACGGTTACGAATCGACGCAAAAATTCGCTTGGATTACGCTTATACAATGACAAATTTGCGGTAGAAATGTTTTTTCGAATCAATTTTTGGTCGACTGTTAGCAAACGCGGCACCCATCTTGCACAGAGCTTTTCCATATGCAAATGTTGGTGCAAAATATGTTGCACACGTTCATATGACATCTTACAGGTCTCAGCTATCTCACGCACTTTCAATCTGCGGTCTCCCAGCACTATTTGATGAATTTTTTCGATCATATCTGGAGTTGTGACCTCAACGGGGCGTCCTGAGCGAGGCCCATCAGAGGTGCTCACACGACCCTTTTTAAACTCGGAAACCCACTGCTTAACGGTTGAATATGACGGGGAGGATGTCCCCAGTGTTGAGTCCATCTCTTTTTTAATTTCCTTCGGCGTTAACCCCTTCAAATAAAAGTATTTGATGACAGCACGATTTTCCTGCTTTTCCATTTTTACGAAAACCACAGAGGCGTCTTGTTCAGCGTGCTGTCAAACCTACACTAGCAAGGAGATCGGGCTGAAACTATAGCTACAAGCTATCCAAGGATGGTACTATAGAATGTCACCTCAAGGTAGGCCTAGTGGCGTCATCTCTTGGTTAGGCCGGAAACTTATCAATCCACCCTCGTATGTCCATAACATACCTAGAATAGAAAATTAAGAAAAAACATCCTTAAAAAATGTTTCTCAATGGTAAGTTTTATTTAAAAAGTTTTATCGCTCGCTAATTTCGGATGTAGTGTAATTGTAGTGTACGTGTACAGTAATCTAGAAGCTGCAATTCATTTATTTAAAATTCAAATAAGACAAGGTTTCATTTTGTTGTTTATTTGCCATAATTATAAATATTTTTCTCTTTTTCATTCACCACTTATCACCCGCTGAAAATTTGTAGATTCTGATTGCATATTACTTCAGCACGCGTCACTTAAATATACTTTTTTTTTTTAAAGATCACACTAGAATTCATTTCAACAGAGCAGCTGCCAGAAGTTGTCAAGATATTTCACCAAAGAGAAAATATCTTAATTCTCGCAATCATAATGGTTTCCTTAGTTATAAGTGTGAGTCAACTTCGTCAGAAAACAAACTAAAGGTAAGTACCTAACTATGTTATCATTAATTCTCCATTTCTTCCCCTTAGTTTAGATATTTGTGTGACAAATAAAAACCTTCCAACCCTTAAGTGACTAGATTCTTTTCATAGTCATATGCCATTATTAAGTCAACGACGTAACAAAATAATGGTAATAATAATACAAATTTGTAACAAATAAATAATACAGTTTTATTCTACTTAAATGTATAGTTCTTTCCAAAATAAGATTCTTTTAAAAATAATGTTCCGGAGTTGCGTATTGTAACTGGCGCGGTCAGTAGGATCAATGAGTCGGAACCAGGACTTAAGTGCGTGTATTGCCTGTGTGAAAGCGTTATCAAATCCATGAACCAATCCACCAGAACGGCGAATAACTCGAAACCGCTGTTCTCAGAAGAGATCAGAAACGAAATGAAAGAAGCCGATGCTTTCTCCGGAACGACCGTACGCCTTCTAAGAAGCAATTCAAAATTAATAAATTGTAGACTACATAGTAACTTCTGGAATTAGTTAAAAGGAATTTTACGAAATTAATTTAGTGACCACACCGACCGAAAAGAGCTCATCAATTTAATGTTGAAAATTAACGAAACGCTGCCTAATTTTATTAGATGATTTAAAACATTACAAACAAGGCTCTTAACATACAAAATCTTAAAAAGAAGGGTTTACGTATATTTACATTGCTTCGGGCTCTTACAGTGAAACAAAACTTCAAAATAATTGAATATATATTAAAAAAAAATACAAATTAGAAAAATAACTTGTATAAGAAAGAACAACAATTTACGATCAGTGAAATAAAATGTCATCAAAATTAGCGAATGAACATAGCACTGGGAAATAAAAAACTTTTATTTAGAGTTACTCAGTTGAGGATAATTGTCACGAGACGAGATAAAGGCAGTCTAAAAATAAGTGAAAAGAAAAATAATTAAGTCGTTTAGTAAATAACACAAATAATTTGTTACTGCGTCACCTGATAATCACGGGGGAAGTCTGCACTCCTCACTGACAAATAGTCTATCTTTAGCGAAGGCGACCTTGACGACGAGGTTCATGTAAAAACGCGAACAGCGAGCTCACGATGGAGAACAAGATTGCACCAAATCAGATATTAGTCACCTGAAATACAGTTTATTCGCAAATAGATAAATTTCGTGCTATTTTCTGTGACACAACTATGAGTGAATCGAATGCAAATCTGATTCGTAACGATTGAATCGAATGAAAATCAGGTTCGCAACGAAAATAAATCTAGTAAAATTTCCCTCCTTCAACTGCAGACAATTCCATTATAATGGAATAAAACAATACACAAACCAGGGAGTTCACAAAAGCTTTTTCTTTTTTAATGCGTTATTTCCGGCTCGCACCAAGTTAAGGGACGCCGTCTACCGTCAAAATGAACGAATCCCCACGCACAGAGGTAGACATACGATACTTAACCAACTCCCTAAAAATTAGACTTCACGCCACTAAGGAATATCTAGTCCTCAGATTTCAACCAAAATCCGCCCGGTAAAACGGTTAGCGTCTTGACGCAAAAAGGTGATCAAATCTTAGAAGTAATTAATTACGCGGGAGCAGTAACTTTTAATAATCATTGTGACGTCAACAAAAACGTTATGCCATCCTACTTTCATGATAGGTGGACACATGTCACGTGGTTGTTTCGTATTGCTAAAATTTAAAAAGTTGTAGTGTAACAGCCGAAAATTGGTTCAGCGATGTCACTCTTCTTCATACATTGTCTAAAAAACATCAATTGTCCTTTGTGGGAACGCTAAGGAAGAATAAGTGACAAATTCCTGAGAAAATGAAAGAAATTAAACGTAGAGAGGTTTTTTCTTCAATGTTTGGTTTTAAAAAGGAAGGAACTATAGTTTCCTATGTCTCTTAAAACAAGCATTAGAAAGACAACGTTCTGTTAGTCTCCAGTATTCATATGGGTGCCTCAATAGACGAAGAAACTGGAGATAATAAAAAGCCCAAAATTATAACCTTTTACAATGTACATAAAATAGGACTTGACATGGTTGATCAAATGTGTTCCGCTTATAATGTACAAAGGGGCAGTCGACGGTGGCCACTAGTTACATTTTTTCAGTGCTCAATGCTGCAAGCATCAACGGACAAATTATTTACATAGAAAATGCAAAAGAAGTTAAACGACGCCGATTATTTCTGCAAGAACTAGGGAGAGTTCTAATTTAACCCCAATTAGTAAAGCGTCCTTACTTTCCAAGTTACTTGTGTCAGTTTCTACGAGAATTCTTGGAATACTTCCGGGTAATCAACAACAGGCAGAGCTACCAGCAGAAACCTCGATCATACGGAAACGTTGCAATCCTTGTCAAGCAACTAAGAAGATTATATTATATATAAGGTATATTGATTCCAATATAGCCGATAACAACGCCGAAAGTAGTGAATAAATATTGTACTGTTCATATCAACTAGTTTTTATAGCTACTTTGTTTTCATTAGATGAAAGTTCTTTCGATATACTGTAAAAACTTTTTCTTCACAATTGTTGCCTATTTCTTTAAATTTTCGTTTATCTTATAACACTAAATTCTGTCCTTTTTCATTTAAAACGAGTAACCGTGACTTTCTTACAGACAGGTTCAATTTTAAACTATGGATATTATACATCCAGCGCGATCATGAACAATCGCTCAAAGGTTGCGACTATCGGAGTGTTAAGTGGAAAAAAGGACCAAATAAACCGAAATAGGAGAATTATACAACCAACGCAGAATAAGCTTCTAGCATTTTCTTTTTCTTAATCGTTACAAGCTTGGAAATTTACAAGATGCTCTTAAAAAAATCTCAAATTATTGTACAAACTGCCTTGGAAGTATTTTACAGTAATTTTTCTCAAATTTTTCTCTAAAGCAACGCCTATAATCCTAAATTGTGTGACAAAACATCAACACAAACAGAGTAACGCAAGTAAAATTGTCCCACCCAATATTAATACTAAATTGCTACGAATTTAATTTAAGTCTGATGACACCTCAAAATTCTACCAATACTCCACTAAGAAAAATTTACCTCCAGATTTTATCCACCTAATATTAATTCAATTCCGTTTTCTGGACCACGTAGTAACTTTCAAAATCCAGAAAACTTCAATAACGCTCTTCGAAATTATTGTAGGAAGCCTAATAATGATAATAACAATAGTTGTAACGGTAAAAATGTATTTAATGGACCAGGATCATCTAATAGCAGTAAAAATATGTCCAAATTTCAAACATTAACTTTTAAGCGATGGCTATAGCACATGTGAATTTCATTGAACTAAAGGAAAACGAAAATAATGATTTTAAACCCTATCGGATGATAGTAGAAAATGTGAATACTTCCTCGAATTAAGGATGAAAACTGTGAAGAACTGCTTCAATGAAAATGTAGATGATGATGAGCTACCGTATCTTGAAATGTTATACCTTCCATTGAGTGCCTCGGAAAAATAAACTACAACTCCCAAGTAATCATAAATTATTCCTTATTGAAAATCCTAATCTCAATTAATCTAACCACAGCAAATACCTATTTCAGATATTGCCAAATTAAAAAGCCTTTTCTTTTAAAACCAATGCAGCATAAACGGTACATGATAAAGCGGTTATTGTAGAAAAAAGAAACAAAATTTAACATTTATTAGATATTGTCAAATTTTATACCGATTTCAACACTATTACAATAGATTCTCATAGTCTAGAACGAATGAATACCGAAATTAATCATAAATTAGGCACAATATCATTGAGTAACAATAGTTGTGAATTGTTACGTTGTAAAGCCAAAAGCATTTTTAAGATTAGTAAAATTATCGAGAAAATTCCTACCCAAAAGGAAGGACAAATTTGTCACCCAAAATGGGAATCGCACTTTTTAAGAATGTCAGTTGGTTTGTAAAACGTGCCTGCTTACTTTTCCAGAGGGATGAACTGTGTGTTACGAGGACTAATCATTAAAATTTGTCTAATGTAGGTATCTTCATGACAGCATAGTATTAAAAACCATTCCCAAAATTTACAGGCAGCTTTCGACAGACTCAGACAATAACAGTTTAAAGTACGAAGATGAGGAAATTCAAAACAAAACCGTATTGTTCTTGATTATTTTCGTATTATACCTATAAGTGTTTTTATAATAAAAGGAAAATGAATAGAGTGAAACACAAGCAAGCGAAACGGGAAAGTGAACTATTGGAAGACACAAGGACTTTTCCTTTACCAAAACAAAGAACCAGTAATTAAACTATCTTGTAAATTTGTTGAGCTAATATTGTTTCCTAATTAATGTAATTTTCCTTCGAAGACAAAGTTCCGTCTTACGGAGGGAGGAGTCAAAAAACATAAAATAAAGAGTAGATTATAATAGAAGTGCTTATTTTTGCATCATTATGAGATAATGCGTATTACATGAACATTTCCGTAAGCAATCTGCAAAATATGTTTACCTCCAGTCTTTTTGCTGAACAATGAGCCGATTATTCAAAATTAGTTTTTGAGTAAATGTGGAAGTGGTAACAACTATACAGTAAAGATCGGTAACTTCATGCGCTCTCCGGTACATTTTTATAAAGGTTAATAATAAAATAATTAAAATATCAACACAAATTTCTAGAAAATGAATAATAAGGTGTTGTTTTACTTATTTTGTTGTTTTGTGTAAAATTCCGGAGTTCCGTATTGTAACTATTTTGGGTAATATATTTTACAAAATATATTCATATCAGGTAATATGAAATCCTACAAATGGCGCAGTAAATGCCATTTGTAGTGCAATGCTACATTTTATTAATCACTATGAATCTAGGCGTAGCTCACCACTATGTGATAGGCACGTTACCATAATCGAATAAAGAATTCGAAGTGCTCACAGTATTCTGTCGAAACTGCCAGATGTGGATCGCGATTTCGATCTTGTTAGACCTCATCAAACGCGCTGTTAAGACAGCAAAAATACAATTATTTATT